TATTGATGTTGACAGGGACCGTTCCCCTTTATGAAGTTGGTAAAAGTCAGACATGACCATCTCTGTGTGGCCCTTGCTCTTTTTATATGAGTGTTTCTGGCACTTTTACCCCTCTATGTCTCCCATGAGTCTTTGAATGGTATAAACAGTTAAGTGTCCACTATGAATCTAAAGGATGACTATCCAAATGGAAGAACTTCTGAAGAAAGGCATTTGAGCTTTCAAAAATTCACAGCTACTGAGATCCCTGTATAGGGCAGCTCTACTCTATACAACAGATCACCATGAGTCAGAATCCATTTAATAGCAACTTTTTTTTTTGGTGGTTGTTTCCTTATTCATTGTGACTAAGGAAGAACCCATGTCTTCGAATTATAATGTGGGTAAGGAGTGTTGAATACCCCATGAACTGCCAAAAGAACAAGTAAATCTGTCTTGGAGGAAGTGCAACTAGGGTGCTCCTTAGAGGCAAGGATAGTGAAACTTAGCCTCATGTACTTTGAGCATGTTGTCAGGAGGGGATGTTCACTGGAAAAAGACACCATGCTGGGTAGGAAAGGTAGAGGGTGAGCAAAAAAACCCACAAAGGATTGACCCAGTGACTTTAACAATGGACATAAACAGCATGAAGGAGATAATGAAGATGCCTCAGGAATAAGACAAGGCTCTGATCTGTTGTTTAAGGGTTTGTTGTGAATTGTAGTCAACAAGATGGAAACTAACAACTAGTTACAAAGAGCCTTTTGAAGGTACAGGCTGTGTGTTCCTTTTGTCTTCGCACTATGGACCTTACAAATCATCCAGTATAGATTAAAAACTCAATAAATAATTATTGAATAATAAAAGACATTTACATAGAGGCACAGTTTACTAGACACCATTTAGGACATTTTACACATACTAACTCACATTATCAGTTCAAGCTCTATGAGCTAGGACACAAAGGTTAAGAAATTAGCCAAAGGCACACAGAAGGATGATAACAGAACCATGGTTTAAAGGCAATCTAACCCCAGAACCTTAGCCATGTCCCTTTCTTTCTTTTATTGGAAAAACAAATGCTGTGGAATTCTGATATTGTTCAGTATTTTCCAGATAAAGTAGTTACATGCTTAAGTTGGGAACAAATCCTTAACTTTCTTTGAAATCATAAATCTACTTTTCCTTTAAGATCCTGATAAAATCTCCTATTAATCAGATCTCACACTAAGATGGTCAGTGTATACTTAAAAATCTCTGATGGTTGCTCATAAATCCCAATAAAACTGTGCTTGTAACTTATCCAGCAGAGAGCAGTCTGTGCCCTTTAGACTCCTTCATCCTTGAAGAAGTAGAGGCACCAGGAGGCATAGCTAGAATAGGTGTCTGCTTCTCGTTGCCTTTGGTAGACAAGCACTCACTTTTAAACTCTCCAATCTGCAAGATCCTGTATCATCTTGCTACAGTTTCTTTTATCATGAACTACTAGAAGGAGGTCAATCAGAAGGTCAGAGAACACACTGTAATGGTTCTTTTCTGTAGAACTTGCCCAGCTTCTTGACATCGCTCTTTGACTTGCCATTCAGGAATTCCATAACAAAACTACTAAAATCCTTTCATTCATTATTTACCTGTGTAACTTGTCATATACTTATTGAGTTTTAAACGTTTTTTATATACTGTGGATACAAGTCCTTAACAGATGTATTATTTGCAAAAATTTTCTCTGTGTCTTTAATTTTCTTAATAGTATCTTTGAAAGTGTAATGTTTTAAATGTTACCATTTATTCCTTTTGTGAGTTACAGTTTTGATGTCATTTTGTGACTCAAGGTCATAAAAATGTACTGCTGTTTCATTCTGCAGCCTTTATTTGGCTGTAGGGGCAGTAGTGACTTTCTATTTTGAGTCTTCATTTTGGCTACAGGACCTCTTTCTTTCTCTGTCAAGCTAATGATAGGTTGAAATTATTGGTCTTCTCAAGAATGAATGTTCAGTTTTATTGATTTTTGGGTGATTGTGAATGAAAGTTTATAAAAGCACATTGATTTTCCATTCAATCATTGATATACACTTTTATTTCCATATTAATTACAATACCCACAATGTAACAACATCCTCCCTGTAATTCTCATTTCCATTAATCCTTCTTTCCTACCCATCCCTGCCTTCTAAACTTCATCCTTGGACAAATGTTGCCTTTTTGACCCAATATATCTGGCTATATAAGGAGAGGGAGCTCAGGTGGTGTGATCAGAGGAAGATGCTAATTCAAAGGTGGCACCTCTCTGGAGGTTTGAGTCTACCAGTTCTGTGGGTGAAACACAAGCCTTTACCTCATGTATGATTATAGTCTCCAAAATCAACTGGAAGGTTATCTTTAATAGTTCCAGCTCAATGGAAATGAATTGGTTGGAAATGATCAAAAGGAATAATTTCACCTTATAGGTCTGTCTCTTTGTGGTACTGAGACTTCCCAAGTCTTGGCTTACCTTTTGGTATTACAAACCACACACTAGGGAAACTCTCTTCCCATACAATTAGCCTTGCAATAGATTCAGAGATTCCTTAATTATCTACTTAATGGAGGACCATTCATTATATACATATATTTGGAGGGGATAAGGTATATACTGGGATGGGATGGTATTTCATTATGATTTTGATTTGCATCTGTCTTATTGCCAGTGATTTTGAGCATTTCTTCATGTGTCTGTTGGTACCCTGAATGTCTTCCTCTGTGCAAAGTCTTTCCATGTCTTTTGTCCATTTTGTAATTGGATTATTCACCTTTTTCTTCTGGAGGCTCAGAAGTATTCTGTAAACTTTTGCTTTGAGACCCTTATCTAAAATGGTATTGCCAAATGTTTGTTCCCAGTTGGTAGGTTTTCTTTTCATCATTGCAAGAACATGGAATCAGCCCAAATGTCCAACCACAGCGAAACAGATTGAGAAATTATGGTACATTCACACAATGGAATACTATGCAGCACTCAGGAGTAATGATTTTTAAAAATACTACGTAACTGGAAGAGGCAGAGAGCACTATGCCAAGTGAATTAACACAGTCTCATAAGGACAAATATTGCACAAGACCACTATTGTACAAATAGAACAATAACTAGCAAAACATGTACAGGACTCAAGGGGTAAGGGGGAAGAGGAGGGGTAAGGATAGACAGAGGTTAAACCACAGGGCTACATAGTTTGGTGGTTGGAGGGGTGGGGGGAAACAAATGGGAAGGATCTGGATGAAAATACAGGGTAATGATGGGCAAGGTCCAATGGTGATTCATTTTATAAAACATAAAGCACGAGAATGATTGTACAAAACACAACGTGAATGAAGAATAATGTGAAACACAACGTATATAAACTTTGTAAGCAAACCAACAACAAAAAAGAGTGTATATGAATAGGACAGAGCGGAGTTTAGGGCTGTTGTACATAGGGTCGCTATGAGTCACAGGCGACTCGACGGCACATAACAACAACAACAACATAATACAATATATATGTGAATAAAAATAATGTAAATGTATTATTATATGAAAAAGTAGAATTTTTTTAAAATGGATGAATGGGAAATCCAACTTTTCTGTAAACTTTAGTTAAAAATCACAATTTAAAAAAATAAATTACTATATAACAATAATTCTCTACAGAGAATTATGTAAATGAACTAATGCTTATTAGGACAAATAATATATAAGATCATTATTGTAAAAATAGGAGGATAACTATTAAGATGTGTATAAACATCCAAAGAGGGAAAGGAAGGGGGTGGAATAAAGGAAAAGACTGAAAATCACTAAGACAACAAAGTTTAGTGGGCAGTTTAGGGATGTGTGAAGAAATGGGAAAGATTGAATAAAGAATCAAAAAGACAGGTTAATAACAGGCATAGATCAATAGTAATTAGTTATATAAAGCACAGTATATATGAATGATTATAAGAAATACAATACAATATAAGTGCTATATTGTATAAAATACAATACACATGAATGAAACACAATGTAAATTAATTCTTGTATAAATCAATAATATTTAAAAAATATTTTTAAAAATTAAAAGGTTAAACAAATTATGGCTAAATATAGACCTTTTTTTTGTAATATAGTTTCATCCTTGCCCAACATTTGTGCCATTATTTTCACATGTATTTTATAAACAAATATAATAAGCTCAATTATAAAATGGTATAATTATTTCCTTATACCATTTCTTTATGTCTTTGAAAGAAGATTAGAAATCAAATGAAAAACAAAGAAAATTATCATAAATTATAAAATTATTTCTATTAACTTGTATATTGTTTCTATTTTGTGTTAATTAAAAATTATTATTTTCTTATTAATTCACATATTACTTATTGCTATTATTTATCAAAGACCCCTGGTAGCACAGTAGTTACCAGAGAGGTCCAGTAGCTGTCTCTTGTGTTATTTTCAGGATTAAAAGGTATGCTCAGTGAAGAAAAGTAGTGAGAGCTGGGTCTATTCCATCTATCTGGATCCGAAGTCTCAGATTTTCTTTAAAAACAAGCTGAATTTCTAGTATGTCCTGTAACTATTAAGTATCTGTAAGGAAAATGCTATCAGGTAAAAGGCTGCTGTCTTAATAAATGTCTAATGGTCACATATCGCAAGAACTGGACATATGGCAAATAATCTTTGGTAGAATGGGATTAAGTATGTTTATGCCAAAAAGGCATCAAAGTGGCTCAATCTAGCTGCTAGCACCATCATAAATTTGAAGGCTGGAGCAAGGAGTTTTCAAGGTATGCATGATAAGCCTCAAAGGACATAGGTTGGGCCAGTATCAACTATATGTTCTCTGAAATCTGAGAGTGTTAGTGAGAGTTTGAAATTTGGAAACAAATGAATGTACATATAACACATATTTTTAGGCTAATTTGTGCAAAAGTAAGGCAAAGGTGTGAGTTTACAAATTGCTTGTTAACATAAAAAGAAATTAAAATAGAATAGCTTCATTCAAAAAAAGGTAAAAAATGCCTACCTGTTCTGAGGGCATTTCACCAAATAATGTTTTCCTGTGAAAGAAAGAAAAACAAACAAGAAAATAGTAAATAAATACTACTTCAGATGAATGTACTCTAGAAGTTACCAGGAAATACAGAAGCTGAAGTACTACCTAGTGTCAGTATAAGCCAACTACCAGGGCTTTCAACTTCTTAGGATGAGTTTGTTGTTGTTGCTATGTCCCATCTTGTCTTTTGAAACTCATAGCGACCCTATGTACAAGAGCCCTAAATGCTGTTCTATCCTGTGTCAACCTCGCTGTCTCAAACACATTCATTCCCACGACTCCACTCACAGAATTGATCCATCTCATCGAGGGTGTTCCTCTCCTGTGCCGTCCCTCCACTCTCCCAAACATGATGTTCCTCTCCAAGGACCAGTCCCTCCTTGAAACATGCCCAAAGTATGTCAGATGACGCTTCAGAATCCTTGACTCCAGGGAATATTCTGGCTTCACCCTCTCCAGGACAAACCTGTTTGTTCTCCTAGCAGTCCATGGTATATTCAAC